ACAGCACAACAATAGACCACGAAATCGTTATTGCTACATGTGTGACATACCTTTCCAAAATCAGTAGCTTTCAATACTCCGCCACATGTAGCAATAACGATTTCGTGGTCTATTGTTGTGCTGTGTCTGTGTATAAGAGACATACCGTAACCACCACTAAAGAGGTCTAATATCCGCACTTGAGTCCGCGATACTAAAAAACGCAGGATACTGCTAAAGTTCTGAAGCGAGATCTTCCTTCTCACAGCTCAGGGCAACGATTGCCGGCACTATTTACCCTTCACTGCCCCAACCATCCTTTTTTCTCCGTGGACAGATTTGGCTCAAATGTTGTCTCCTGGGGTAGTTTGACCTCCTGAATACGAATATCACATTCGCTTAGCCCGAAACTTCCTGGCGCCCGCGCCACAGGCGCCGGTGATTTGGGTATTTTGGCGCCAGCGCCTGTAGCGCGAGCGCAGGGGGGGGTGGGGTTTCGGGCCGAGCGGATGTGATATTCGTGTTCAGGAGGTCAGACTACCCCTGAGAACAAGTTTTCAGCGAATTTGGTGATTTAGGGTATTTTGGCGCCGGCGCCTGTGGCGCGGGCGCCAGGTTTCGTGCCGAGCGGATGTGATATTCATGTTCAGGAGGTCAAACTACCCCAGGAAACAAATTTTCAGCCAATTCTGCCAAGGCAGAAAAAAGTCGGTCAAAAACTGGCCTGTTTTCGGAAGACTGGGGCAGTAAAGGGTAAATAGTGCCCAGTTGCCATTTTTTACCTATAAAAGAACAAAAGGATAAAGTCTTCGCCGTTGATCAATCCCTTTGTGGGATGCGGCACGCATTCTACTTCCATTCAGAATCGTAGTGGCTTATTGAATGCGATGTGGCCTATACAATGACTTGCGGGGGCCAGCCGATGTACAAGTCAGTGTCCTTGTCCTCCCAGACAATCTGGTACCAATTTACCGTCCCCGGAGGAGTAGAAGGCTTGGTTGGCCTGGGCGGGAGTCGACCTGGGATTCGAACCCAGGACCGCGCGAATGGTGAGCGCGCCACTTGTCACCACACCACCTCCTGACCATTACCGTATTATCAAGAACTATTGATTACCGCCTGAGCACTAGCACTTACTCAGAACACTGCAAAAGCGCTTCAGTGATATGGACGCGGATGCAGCCGCAGAAGGAATCGAGAGCGCTGGTTGCTTGCGTTGTGAGAGGGTATAAGGAAATAGGAGGGTATGCATTACCTACCCACGCAGTCTGGTCGGGAAATAAGAGGGTACGCATTGCCTAACCACACAGTCTGGTATCGATCGGCACTGGTCGCTAGGATTTCGGGAGCATATAGAAGAATGGAAGAGGGCCAGATAGTGTGAAGGCAGCACCAGCTTCTTGTTCTCTTATACTCTTAGAAAGGGGTCGACGTCGGTCGACTCACATCTGCGACTGCGCGCGCGTCTA